AAAAGGTTGTGACTGAGTCATGAAGCAACAAGTGCCTAACTTAGCAGCAGTTACTTAACAACAGTAAACTTCCATTTACTATTGAATTTGATCCTCAACATCTGCTGCACTTCTCATCATCTTGCTTTTATTGCTTCCTCTTCTCCTTCTTTACTCTTTCATTTGTTGCTCTCAGAAGGATCATTTCTCTCCATCTTTCTTTGGTGACTTTCATTGAAACGTATGTTTTCACAGGAAATAATGTGTAGCAGAGTGTACCACCAAGAGTGCTGTCACATGGGGCCCATTAGGGAGGTTTCCTATTGTCAATGCAGTACATGTTGTGTCACTGCTAGGGGTTAAATTTGTTAGCCCTCGGGGCCCCTCGCTGGTCTGCGGCTCGTCCAGCCCTCGGAGGACACCTGAGTAAACGCAGCTCTTCAGTTAATGCTTCTAGTTCAACACCTATCAGTGAGAAGATGTAAAGGAACTGATCCATACTCAAAGATATAAACTGAATGGGGGTCATCAGGGGTGGTCACAATTAGTTTTTTTGTCTCCGTTATGATCATTCGACATTTGATGATGACTTTTAGACAAACTTACACCCAAACCACAAACAAATAAATGTATGTCTTTAATGTTGGATGTCTGTAAAAGTTGTTTCATCCTTTTTGAGCATGTGTATGTTTAAACAGGACTCTGTGTTTGCTTGTGTAGGCACTCTGAAGCATCTGTGTTTACCATCTCAACTCCTGAGGTTTTAAGTGAGCAAGATTGACATGGACAAACAAAGGATTCTAACAGACATGTCGGCCTCCCCACACTCTCTATCCCTGTCTTTGTGTCTTTCAGTCTCACTCATTCTCTCTTACCTCTGATGGCTTCAAACTTAAATGTTGCCTGTCTTTTTTTTTTTAATCTTTCATTGTTTAAATAGAAATCCTAACAATGGAATGGAATACCTCAGTTCTGTACGTCTAATCCCAACAGCATATTGGACAGGTTTTCCATTTTGAAAGTACAATACAAAGCTCCTGTGCTTTATTCAAGAAGAGTATTGCACATATACAGTCAGGTTAGCAAAAAAACAACATCACAACGTGAATCAAGTAAAAGACAGATTAAATAATAAAACAACATACAGTACATAAATAAAAGTACAAATGAGAGACAGTAATTATATATAGGCTACAAGTAAATTCAACCTATTAAGACGCATTTAAATAGTGAAATCATTATTTAAATAGAGGGGGAAAGGTTTTAGAATAATGCAGACATTTGTATTTTTTTTTGTTAATTAAAAGTAGTGATTTCAGTCGGGACTTTAACTCTAGATTAAAAATTTATTAAATTAATCATGCTCGTTTTTTTTTGGAAGTGGGTGTGGGTGTTAAAATACAATTCATTTCCTGAAAGGATGCATCTGATCCATACTGCACAAACCGGAAGTTACTGTAGTATCCATGCTGAAATGTTCAGTATACAGAGTTGGACCCAAAGAATGCATACTGAATGACCACGAGACTTCAGTCTACTGAAAGTCTGCACTGCATACTGAACTGTGGCTTTTCAGATCGGGACACAGGCAGAAACATCATGTAGAAACACTACATGACACACGGGGTAAAAAGTACAACACAAAATCAGGAAACACTAAGACACAATGTAACAATAACAATGCACACTAGAACATAGAGAAATACAAGGATAAGTATTTACAAAACAGGAAACACTGAATATTAAACTATGAAACATTAAGGGAAACAAGGACACTAGGATAGACAATTACCAAATAAGACAGAACATGGCCACTATGCAACAAAACAAGGAATAAACTAAACAAGAGTAAACCATGACCACTAGTGTGTTCATAAAAAGACATCCCATTTAAACCCTTTTCACACATACAGAAATCTCCTGAAAAACTCTGGAGATTAGTCTACCCGGAGTTTCTCCTCCAGACTCCTAGTATTTAATCCGCAGAATATCAGAGTGAGCTGATGTCTGAACGCAGACGAATATACTCCAGAGATTTCACCTCGAGCCAATAGAAAGAAAATTACGTTTTCTATCTAAAGTGTCTGCACGCGACCTCTACGATCTCCGTGCTCTAATTATACATCTGCATTATGTTTTCTGTTCATCACTATGTTGTTCTCCTCTCTTTTGTGGATGTTGTCATTCCATTGGATTACACATAGCATTGATATAAAGACAAATATTCCCATTATAACGTTGTGTAGCGGACTCTGTTGCTTACTTCCACATTGTTCTTTTACGTCACGTCTTACCTCAGGAAATCCTCGCCCCCCCTCCCCTCTGACAGGGATAGCCCCCCTCCCCTCTGACAGGGATAGCCCCCCCTCCCCTCTGACAGGGATAGTCCCCCGCTGTGAGGAGCATATGTGAACGGCTAGGTTGGGAGAATCTCCGGAGAAGTCCTCCTGAAATGATCTAGATATTATCAATCCACCCCAGATATATACTGTTCACTACCAAGCATCAAAGTATTCTGAGTTTTGAGGTTTGAGAAAAAGATTTATCTCATGAACTGAATTTAGTCTGATGTCTGTCAATATACTGAATTACAGAGAACTTGTTACTTTACTTATGTGGCCTGGATACTACTTTTTTCATAAAGATAGAAAGGCAATGTCATTTTTTGTTTAAATATACATTTATATATATATATATATATATATATATATAAAAAACTAAATCCTCTTTTGTTTCTAGATCATTGATGAAGAGGACACACAGTTCATGACCAACTGTGCCCCTGCAGTGACAGAGAGTACACCTCGTAGACGTACAAGAATACAGGTCTTCTGGACGGCACCACCTCCTGGCTCTGGCTGTGTCATACTGAAGTGAGTTTGATTTTCATTGAGCAGCTTTTGATAAAGATCGTACCTGTTTGAAAGCCAAAGAGAGTGAGCAATACTTATTTGGGTTAGAATTCAAATTATTTTAAAGTTTTTGAATTAAGTGACATCATATGGAAATGTACTTGCAAGTGATGACCAATTAATACCTTGCAATAATATGCTGTGTTGGCGGACCACTGTCCACACAGTTATAACAATAATCCATTGATACACATTCATCTGCTGACGAAAGACACGGGGCATTTTGGGTGTCAGTGTCTTGCCCAAGAACACTTTGACATGTGACTGCAGGATCTGGGGATTGAACCCGAACTTCAGGTTGACAGACTCTACCAATGATCCACAGCCCAACAAACACCGAACCCCAAATAGCTTGTGCTGTTCTACCAGTGACGTTTGAATGTGTGTGAATGGAATAGTACAGATGGACAGTCTGTACTCAGTCCTCTCCTCCTCTTTGGGCTCTGTGGATGTCGTAGGTCTGTGCTACACGTCCTGGAGGGGATATTTGTGGAGGATGAGAAGGAGAAGAGGAATGACATCTCTGTCTTACTGATGCCAACCTAATCAGCCTTGGTGATAATAATGACTTCAAGCTTTGTAGGAAACACACAACTATTCAGCTCTCAGTGAACCCCACACCCATGGAAACACCTCCCCCTGCCAGATGGATTTAATACACTCAAAAGAAGCAACTGCTTATATCACATTATTTATAAACAACACAGACACATATTATACATTTACTTTGCATTTTTACAGTGATCAGAATAGTTTATTAGGTGTACAGTAACAGTGCTTTGAGTAGTCAGAAGACTAGAAAAGCTCTATACAAGCTCAAGTCCATTACAATAAAACGTTTTTATAACTACTGCTTCAATACAGTTAGCTTATAGTGCAAAAACAATCGATCTTGGGCTTGGGCAATTAATCAAAACCGACATCCAGAACCTCTAACCGACATAATCTTGCTCATGTCGTTTATTTCTATAATTTCAGGGCACGTCCAATTCGTGACATGGAAGCAATGTCCGTCGTTTGGACACCTTTTGTCTTTAGGGAAGAGGACACAGAAGAAAAAGAGGTCAAATGTAAACACTGTGGACAAACTGTTTATCTTCTACTGTTTTAGAGAAGTGAATTTCTACTTTAAAACTAAATGTGTCGTTTTCATTTCAATCGATGCTTTGATTTCAGTTCCAAATATTTAATAAATAACCACAGAACAGTTCATCAGATATTCACTCTTTCATCAGAAATCATATCCCAGCTTGAATAGTTGAGCATGTTTACAGTAGAGACCTCGTCAGTGAACTGAGGGCAAAAAACAAAAACAAAATAATTGTTCATTAATCGTGATCGAGGTAAAATTTTTAACGTGATATTGATTTGAGGTCACATCGCCCAGCCCTAGATAGATCTATAATGTCAAATCTTATTTTCACAGGCCATTATGTATAGAGTTCCCTGAGGTACCCCTGCTTGTTAATTGTTGACTCTAAATGGACTGTAGGTGTGAGCATGAATATTTGTCTATATGTCAGCCCTGTGATTGACTGGATCGCCTAATGACAGCACTGGGATCTGTTTTTCTATGCTTGCTGTCAAACAGTAGAAAACATGTAGTGGCTTGGCTTTGGTCACGGCTTTAAGACTTTTGAAAAGCAATAACATGTTTCCAGTTTGGGAAAACATTGTTGTGGTTTCCTTGCAGCTTTGGATTCAGCTCGTCGTGAGAGATGAAAATATATCTGCCAGATATGACATATATGTGAGAAGCCTTTGAAGAGCCTGGGCACAATCTGTGTGAAACAGGAAGTGTGTGTTCTGCTTCCATGTCTGGTCAAAAAGCAGGTTGCCTTTATTAATCATATCCTGAATAACTTCTTTCAATACCTTCTCAAGATCTGCAGGCATTCCTTTGCATGCCAGCGCTTGTCGATGACTGAGACAATGGTTCCAGATGGTTCATTCATTAACTGTTCTTAAATCCTAGTTACAAACTTTTGAAGAAGATTCTGTGATTCACCACTCCCAGTACTCTTATGCACTGCTTATTGTATGTCATTTCAATCTACAGTTGTGTAATATACAAGGGTTTAAATTACAGTATTTTGTTTCATAACTAGCCTAATGAAATATTGAATAAATATGCTTATGATCATGCAAACCCAAGTGGTCTTATAAGATAAATAACATGCACAACAATTCAATTCACAAACGTTAATGATGATGCATCCCATGCCTCTTTTTTTGTGTTCCTGTGTAACCATTACTCACACTCAATTCAATTCAATTCAAAAAAACTTTATTTGTCCCCGGGGGGCAATTCAAAGTGTTGAATGCTCAATAAAACATCCTGCTGACCTCCTCTAGTAGTACCTCCACTTCAGAACTGCTAAAGTGTCTTTATATTTATATCCACATCTATATCCCATGTACAGTGGGTACGGAAAGTATTCAGACCCCTTTACATTTTTCACTCTTTGTTTCATGGCAGCCATTTGCTAAAATCAAAAAAGTTCATTTTATTTCTCATTAATGTACACTCAGCACCCCATCTTGACAGAAAAAAAAACAGAAATGTAGAAATTTTTGCAAATTTATTAAAAAAGAAAAACTGAAATATCACATGGTCATAAGTATTCAGACCCTTTGCTCAGTATTGAGTAGAAGCACCCTTTTGAGCTAGTACAGCCATGAGTCTTCTTGGAAATGATGCAACAAGTTTTTCACACCTGGATTTGGGGATCCTCTGCCATTCTTCCTTGCAGATCCTCTCCAGTTCTGTCAGGTTGGATGATGAACGTTGGTGGACAGCCATTTTCAGGTCTCTCCAGAGATGCTCAATTGGGTTTAGGTCAGGGCTCTGGCTGGGCCAGTCAAGAATGGTCACAGAGTTGTTCCGAAGCCACTCCTTTGTTATTTTAGCTGTGTGCTTAGGGTCATTGTCTTGTTGGAAGGTGAACCTTCGGCCCAGTCTGAGGTCCTGAGCACTCTGGAAGAGGTTTTCTTCCAGGATATCTCTGTACTTGGCCGCATTCATCTTTCCTTCAATTGCAACCAGTCGTCCTGTCCCTGCAGCTGAAAACACCCCCATAGCATGATGCTGCCACCACCATGTTTCACTGTTGGGATTGTATTGGGCAGGTGATGAGCAGTGCCTGGTTTTCGCCACACATACCGCTTAGAATTAAAGCCAAAAAGTTCAATCTTGGTCTCATCAGACCAGAGAATCTTCTTTCTCATAGTCTGGGAGACCTTCATGTGTTTTTTTGGCAAACTCTATGCGGGCTTTCATATGTCTTGCACTGAGGAGAGGCTTCCGTCGGGCCACTCTGCCATGAAAGCCCCGACTGGTGGAGGCTGCAGTGATAGTTGACTTTGTAACTTTCTCCCATCTCCCTACTGCATCTCTGGAGCTCAGCCACAGTGATCTTTGGGTTCTTCTTTACCTCTCTCACCAAGGCTCTTCTCCCACGATTGCTCAGTTTGGCTGGACGGCCAGGTCTAGGAAGAGTTCTGGTCGTCCCAAACTTCTTCCATTTAAGGATTATGGAGGCCACTGTGCTCTTAAGAACCTTGAGTGCTGCAGAAATTCTTTTGTAACCTTGGCCAGATCTGTGCCTTGCCACAATTCTGTCTCTGAGCTCCTTGGGCAGTTCCTTCACCTCATGATTCTCATTTGCTCTGACATGCACTGTGAGCTGTAAGGTCTTATATAGACAGGTGTGTGCCTTTCCTAATCAAGTCCAATCAGTTTAATTAAACACAGCTGGACTCCAATGAAGGAGCAGAACCATCTCAAGGAGGATCAGAAGAAATGGACAGCATGTGAGTTAAATATGAGTGTCACAGCAAAGGGTCTGAATACTTATGACCATGTGATATTTCAGTTTTTCTTTTTTAATAAATTTGCAAAAATTTCTACATTTCTGTTTTTTTTCTGTCAAGATGGGGTGCTGAGTGTACATTAATGAGAAATAAAATGAACTTTTTTGATTTTAGCAAATGGCTGCAATGAAACAAAGAGTGAAAAATGTAAAGGGGTCTGAATACTTTCCGTACCCACTGTATATGATTTATATATTGATCTGAAAGTGATTTGTTAAGTGACTGACTTGTTTTAGGAGTAAAGTGGGGTAGGGAGGGTCTGCATCTGTGGATTGGTTTGCTGGATGGTGGCGGATTATTTCTTGTATTTCCAACAAACCAATCCACAGGTGCAGACCCTCCCTACCCCACTTTACTCCCAAAAAAAGTCTGTCACTTAACTTATCACTTTCAGATCAATGAACATCATTCAGACTGTATGTGTCAGTTTTAGACTGCGTGCAAGTTCATCTATCCCCAGATCCATCCGATCGATAGCGTCAGCAACACACGAACACATTAGACATGAAACAAGAAGCTGGACTCATCAAGTCACCACCTTTTGCATTGTTTGGACCAGGCATCTGCAAAGTCAACTTTATTTTCCGTATGACATTCATCAGTGTCATTTCTTTTGAACTCTGCAAACTCTTGAATGGTGACGTTAATGTCTCTGTGGATGTGAGACCCGGGGCAGATCCAGAGTTCACTGGAGGGATTATATATCCCGCATAGCCTGGGAACGCCTCGGTATCCCCAGGAGGAGCTGGAAAACGTTGCTGGGGAGAGGGAAGTCTGGAACACTAACTGCGCCTGCTGCCGCCGCAACTTCACCTCGGATAAGCAGAAGAAAATGAATGGATGGATATCGATCATGTCTTACACAAAGTCAACTTTGCTTTTGCTTCCTGTATTGATCTGTCGACTGTTTTGCTTTCAATGTTTGCAAGACACTTGCCTCTCAACTTATACTGCCAGTTATTGACTGTTGTGATGTTATTTACCAAAACTCCTCTAAATCTGATCTTGGTGAGCTTAATACAGTTTATAACAGAATTGGTTGTTCTTTTTTTACTCATCATTGTTCATTGTATGATGCACTCGATTAGCCATCACTCACTATGAGACAGCAGCACTGGATCCAGTTTCTACGTTCCACCTTATTTAAAACATAATTTTGTACCCTTCACTTCAAATGACCACATTAGGAATTCCACTTCGATTTATTTTGTTGTTCAAAGAGCTTTTCTGTTTAAAGCTCCTGCTGACTGAAATGACTAACCTGTTCAGATCAGATCTGTTTTGTCATTTTGTTTCTTGAAGTATGATTTGTCCTCTTTCTCATTGATGGATTTTTGGCCATCATTTGGTTGTAATGTTTTTCATCCACTACTCTGTTCTGTCTTAGTGGGTTGCTTTTTCTTGTCAGTTTGTGTAATGTTAACATTTTGTCTTAGTTTCTTTATTTTCTCTTTTGAATTGTTGTCACATTTCACCATCATGTCATGTTGTGAATTGTCTTCTGTTAGGACCCCCTTGAAAACAAGATGGTACATCTCAAGGGGCTTATCCTGATAAATAAACCTAACTGAATGTCTGTTTTGAGCACCTCTGCATCCTTTTCTGTAAAGGCAGCAGAGTTGTGTGTTTGTTCACAATTTATGCTCATGTTTTTCAAACAGAGCCACCGTGCACAGGGGTCAGTTGTAATCCTGTATTGTTGATTGGTTGGGAAATGAGAACCTGGTGAGTTTGTGTTTGGATGAAGCAACAAAGAAGTTGTAGCATAAAATGTTGCAGATTATTTACTTAACTATCGCACATACTGTCATGTAAATATTATGCAGGCATGAAAACGCAATTGTGATTTAATTGCCTTTCTTTCCTTTTTTCATCACCTTTCACCCTGTCTTTTCAGGGCCAGTATTGTCCAGAAGAAAGTCATATTTTTCCAGGATGAAGGCTCTCTCACTATTCGACTGTGTGAAAAAGGTAATGAGAGCTGCCTATCATCCCTATAGGATTCATATCTCTGCATCTTTGACCTTTTAGAACATGTATGCTGAGGGACTGATGTCCAGCAGTTGGGGAGAATGGTAGGGAGCCAGGGGAAGGCAATGAGTAGACTGCATGGCATTTGGGAGAGACAGTACAGAAGTTTGTAATATGGGTAAAAGTTGACTGAATTCATGACAAGCAGTGTGTATTTCTGTGTGATGTGAATGTCCTGTCTCCCTGTAGAGCGTGTTTTTGGTGAAGCCACAGAGGCTCCAGCCGTCGAATGCTGCGCTTGTGGCACAGCCAAATACAGGCTCACCTTCTATGGCAACTGGTCAGAGCAACAACATCCAAAAGACTACCCAAGTGAGTTCAACAGACCACCATGTAGATATGCAGTGTGTCCCTGTAAAGCAGCAGCTTTACTGCCCTTAGAAGTCAAATGAAACAGTCAACTCAGTATGATACAGGGATCATTTTGAATCATGAGCCCTTTAGTCAGACAGAATCATTGTATTTAATATTTATTATCTTCCAGTATTGTGTCTACAGTGTAATCTGTTTCAGAGCAATGCAAATTAAGGAGAAATTTGAGCCAAAAAAAACTAAATATCACTTTAAATTGTTCTATAAAACCCTTAAAGGCTTTATATGTGATTTTTTACACTTAAATATAATATAAATCAAGTATATCCTCTGAAAATAACTCTGTGAGTCATGACTGTCTTCAATGGGTATAACACCCGAGTCCCACTGTCTGTGATGCTTTCAGAGTTTTCTGAGTCATATCTTCACTTTGTTTACATCGCCCGGACAGCCAGCTGACTCCTCCCCTTGCGTATAAAAGTTGTTTAATTGAGGGACTAGAGAAAAGAAGAATAACATACTGTACTCACTGCTTAACTGTGTTTCTAGATCACGCTCATTTCAGGTAAATTTACATGCAGTGTGAAGATACGAGCATAATAAAGATCGCTAGCATTAGCATGCTAACACAACAATGCAGCGTGAGTTGTTTTGGTTTCATGCTGGTGCTCAAGGGGGCGACATCTGCTGGATCAAAAAATCACATATAAAGCCTTTAAAGTCAACCGGCAACCAGAAAGATACTCATTTAATCAGCTAGTATTCATCTTATTTATCGTCCTACTTATCAGAGTTGCTATCACTCACACTAAATTGCTCTGTGTCTGTTGTCTTCAAGGACGAGCCAACCACTGGTCAGCTCTGATAGGTGCATCTCACTCCAGAAGCTACACGCTTTGGGAATATGGAGGGTATGCAAGCGAGGGTGTCCGTCAGGTAGCTGAGTTTGGTTCCCCCATCAAGATGGAAGAAGAGATTCGACAGAGGGTAGGGGTCATGATGGAACCTTCACAGGTTCCTCTTTTGCTCCATTTTTGATGAAACCACACCATTTAATTATTATTATTTTTTATGTATATGACCATCATGTGGACCAAAGCCCGAGTACTGGTCAATGAATAAATGAATGAAACCTTTATTGCCCCTAGGGGAATTTTCCTTGAACCGAGAGCATCAAAACACAATACAAACAAACATAATATAGGGCAGCAGATACAAACAAAACCATAAAAAAAACATAATTAACCTAAATCAGGATATGATTAAATGAGGGATTCCAGCAGCAAGTTAAATAAAGTGCAGCATGCCAACTTCATAATGTATAATCAGAGCTTATTAAGCAGATGAATACTGCGTGTTACAAAGGATTTCATGCCCCTTTTAGTCCTCATCCTGGGTATTCTGAATCTGCGCCCTGAAGTCAAGGGTTCATACTCCGACCAAAGGGGGTGTAATCTTGTTGGCTAAATGAAGGGCTAAATTGGTGGCTAAAAGTATTTATTTAAAATAAAAAAATTGTATTTAACTTTATTTAACCAGGTTTGTATATATAATGTATATGAAAATATAAATCTAAGATAAAAATCAATTCAGAGTCAGCAGATAGGAAAAGTAGATGCAGTTAAATATTATAGAGAACAAACCAATGTATTTTTTGTAGGCCAACCCCGAAGGAGCATCACCATGGGTTCTGTTGAGAATTCTCCTATGTGATTTTTGCATTAGATTTTCGATCATTGCAGAAAATAATCTCTGTGGCTAACACCCGTTTCTGAAGCGTAGGCGTTTTGTTCAGCAGGATAATCTTCACAGATGAACATCATTTTTATGATGTTTGAAGCGTTAATGCGGCCGACAGAAGTAAAAAGCTAACGTTCTGCTACAAGCTAACTACACCACGGTCAGAGGATTTTGACATCGCTACCATTATGCTTCAGACGATCTCTGATAAGCTAATCAGCGGTTTTGACAAGATAGCGAAACAATAGCTTACTACATTGTTTATTAAAATAATATTTGCTTCAGCCAAAGATTAAACCTACAGGAGACATCACGTCTTATTGTAACTTTAATCAGATTTTAATGTCCACGACAACCACTGTAGTCACATTTAGCCACTTGTTAGCAACTGTCTTTTTAAAGACGCGTAAAAACTTCACAGTTAGGTATTACCTAAAGTAGTTTATGTGATCTAACAAAACACCAACATCTCTTCAGCTTGTGTTAACCACAGACCTTATTTCAGGCGTCTAACCACAAACCCATTCAAAATCCACATTGACTTTTAGACGTTAGGCCCCATGGTGCTAACATGCTAACTTACTTCCTGTGGCGCCCTATTAGGCATGCTCAACGACCCCTGGTATTTGTAAGGGGCTACTACAGTATACTGAGGGGTTAATGACATGCTGAGGAAATAAAAATCTGAAAACACTCCCACACACTACCTCTGTCAAAACTCTAGCTAATGAATATAAAGAACAGCTACATTTCAAATTTCCTGAACTATTTCTGTACATGCAAGGGCTCTAGGAGACTCTTTATGCAGCTATTTTATAGTTATGGTTTTTGTATTATTGGCCTTTTTATAAGCCTAGTTGGCTCATTTCCCAAATAAATATCCCTGAAAATAAAATCAAGCTCTTAGAGGGTAGAAGTGGTGACCGCAATCTATAACTAACAAGCTAACAGGCAATTTAAGGACATTCCTAAAATTATTCAAATTACCTGCAGAAATATCACATAACAAACTCCTATACTGGCCATTTTCAGGTTTGCTACTATAGGCTTATTTTATTTATTTAAATCATCCAGGTACGTTCCGTACTTCATATCATCTTCCGTTAACTTAGCTTTTTTTATTTTCATCTAAATTGTACATACATTGTTCACATATGCAGGTTAACTATCACCATGGGCATTGGGTCAGAGTGAGAGAGCCAGCCAGGAATCACCAGATGTCTTTTGATAAAGGTTTATTTCTTAAACTCCATTCAGTTCAATAAAGAGGTGTAACAAAACACACAAAAGAAAATACAGTAGTTAATTGTGGATAATTAAAGTACTCAGGTTAAACTATTACAGACAAATAAAAACTATAGTTGTAGAAAACCACCTTACCACTGCTGAACCCTGTAAGGGGCAAAAGGAGTGAGGACAAGGGAGAGCAGTCTTTGAATATGGAGTCATCAGGTGAATTCAACCAGGCAAACAAGTAGTGACAGAGTGCAAACAACAGCTAATCAATGCTGAGGAAAGGAGAAATCAGGAGGTGAACCAAAGGAAGTGAGGAAAGTGAAGAAGGGACGTGGTGAAATGTAACAAAATTCTTTGCTAGTTTTAATTGTCTGAAATCCTTGGCATTCCCAGAATTAGATCTGAAATAATGTATTCCATTTATTGAACTGCTTGTGAGGAAGCTCAACTAATGACAAAGACAACAAGATACATACTCAACAAGAGTAGGAAGCCAGTGCAGTGCAGAGAAGGCAACATAGGAGAAATGTGATACATTTGCCTAATTCTGCAGAATTTTAGAAACCAGCTGAGGAGACTTTTATTTTAATCTGGATATTAAGAAATTATAAATAACAAAAAAAAGTAACAAATGTATGGACTTGTTATACTGCATGGTTATCCACCAGGATGTGCAGGATTTTTTACAATCTTATGTTTGACTAATGGCTGGCCTTAAAATTGTATTTTGTGGGATTCAAAGAACATATCTTGATGAAACAGGACTTCCTTCTGGGAGTAGCATTAGATAAATTGTGTCTAGGACCCATTGTTTAGGGACAAGCACAATATCTATATGAATAACTTTTTAGCATTTTGTCTTTAACATATGGACCAAGCAATTTGTAACATATATATGTCTCAAAAGGGCTGGTTCCATCAGGCCCACAGTATATGTGTCCTCTTTGTACCACACTCTCTCATAGTGAGCACTGCAAGTGGCCGTTTGCGAGTGGAAAACTGTGTTTTGTTAGTGTGCTGCCAGTTTGGTGTGTGCCTGTCAGTTTAGGTTAGGGTTGTTGTGTGTAGACATTGGAGGCTGACAGACAGCCCTAACCTCTCTCTTGGCTGGCTGTGTCAGTCCTTTGGGAAATACCTACCCTGACTCAACAAAACTTCAGACTGTTTAATAGCAGAATGAGATGGCTTAATTGTGTTCTGTAGACTGGAATTTGCAAAGAATAGTTTGATTGTATACTAGAAACCTAGATTGCCAAAGTGTCTTGTCTTAATAAAAGAGACTGGCCTTTTTTTCTTTTGGAAAAGTCCAACTTTTTTGTGTATCATGTTTTATGCCATTCAAGTTAAAAAATGTAGTCCTGCATATTGATTTACTTTTTACTTTTTTCAAAATTTGGGCAGCTGTGGATCAGTTATAGAGTTGGCCGACTAGAAGGTCGTACTAGTTCAGTTCAGTTCAGACCTGCAGGCACATGTCCGATGTTTCCTTAGACACTTAACCCCAGATTGCTCGTGCTGCTGCGGCAGAGGTGTGTGGTTGTGTATGAATGGATTAGTTAATACTGTATTTTAAAATCAGTAGCCTCGGCTATAGAAGAATCCAGAGAAAAACTAAAAGTAGACAAGTAGCCATTACTGCTGTGACGTCTCCCTTCAACAGCTGTGGGTTTGAATGCGAGCAGTCCTACAAAATGAACATTTTTTACTTTGACCATGACTTTCAATGTAACTTGACCTTTAACAACATTGTAAAGGAGTTCAGGAAGAACCTGAGGAGTTCTCAGCTGCTCTAACGGTCGGGACAAACTTTAGCTCTGGGGAAACAAAGAGGAAGTGCACAACACACACAGGACTAAGATATTCTTCAGAGGTGGATTGAGAGAAGACCCTGAGTGATCTATTGATTGGCATGTAGGTATGAAGTGATCCTGTATATAAAACATTCCTCTATGGCCATGCGTAATCAGGTGGATGTAATCATAACAGACCAGATGCTTTGGCAAATAAACAAAAACAAAATATGCTTAATTAATATCTATAGAAATATAATTCACAATGCATCTAGTCCAATGATTAAATGCAGCAGTTAATTAATTAAGCTAACAAGCATGTAGAATAACTTTATATTATACAACAATTCATCACATGTGACTGATGGTTGAGTTTTTCTTTATTTATTTCTCTATTATGTTATCCCAACTATGAATGCTGTTGTCATAGTAACCAGGCAGCAGCAAACACTGAGATGCCACCGCAGTAATGCCAGCTCCTGCACGATGGCAGTGCTTCCAAGCCGGCCGTATAAATTTACTCTTTAAACATACCAAATAGAAATTCATTAGCATGCTAAAAAGACGATGGTGCTCTCTTTTACCTAAATCCACTGTTTGTTCTCATTCACATGTACACACTTCACTTTCTCAAGGCTCTATGTAAAAGCAAACGAAAAGGACACACATGTCCCAATCTGTGGGGCTCTTAAGATAAAATTGGATGAACATCAAAGGCTGCTGTAAAGGTGGGACGCCGACATGGGTCAGTAATCCCTGCTGGGAATCTTAACCATCCATAGGAGCAATCCGCTGTGGTGATGGTGGACAAAGCCTAAAGATCAACCTCTCTGACTCAGTGCTTTATGTGTGCTTCAAGTCAATCGATGCAGACCGACACAGGCACAACAGCAGGGGAAAACTCTTAGTGTTATAATATCTCAGACGACACTGTTCTGAAAGTCACAGTGATTGTGACCAAATTTGGATGTTTCATTAGCATCAAGTCTGTTGTTGAATTTGACCCATCTTTCTCAAATCATTCTTTCTTTCTTCTCTTAATAAAGAAACTGTAATATGTGCCCTCTAGGCAAACTTCAATACCTGCTTAAAAATGTAATCTGTTAATGCCCCAGAAGCAGTTCTACTGCATTTTGATGGATTGCATTCTTTATTCAAGGAGGCAGAATATTTTCCAAAAGTAAATATATAATATAATGTAATAATTCAGTTTTATTAGAT